TGCTTGTGATAGTGTTATTAAAGCTAAAAAGTCAACATTATTAATTGCAAAAGTACATGGGGGGAAGAGTTCAACACACTCAAGGGCGGCTTCAAAGACCCAGAAACAAAAATGAGGGCAAGCCTGAAAAGGGATCCTTCAGTCATTTGGTTTATAACCCTCTTTTTTCTTCTTCCTTTATTTTTTCCCCTAATTTACTTGGAGGCATACTTAGATTTCTTCCCCCTTTTAAGGGGGGGGAAGAAAGGAAACTATTTAAAGAGCATTGTGGCATACGTTTTACAGAAAATAAATAATTATAATTAAGTATAGTTACTGTACACATGTGCAGCTTAACGATATCTAAGCTACTGGGGAAACAGACAAGTCTTTGAGTAGTCAGAAAAGCTCTAAATAATGGGCTAAAACTTCATGAAACAGGCAAGTAATCATCTCATCAGAACTAAGTACCAATATTAAGATACCAAGAGCAACAAGTAAACTGGACCAAAACTTTGGTGTTGTTTTTTGTTTGTTATTATTAAGATTTGGTTCTCATACAGAAAATTCAATGGGTAAAGGATCATTTCATGTCCACTGGCTCCCAGAAATCTGAACTAGCGCTGCCAAACTAAAGAATTTCCAGCACCTGGATGAGTTATGTGCTAGTTCTTTAAACAAGTATAAAACCATAGTTCATACTTCTTAAATGGTAATATAAAAAGTCACAGATTATTCATGGAAATAATAAGTCTTGGTTATCAAAGCCCTCCAGATGTCTAGACATGTCATGCAAAAAAAAAAAAAGTCATTTTAAGTCTAAAAACTAAAGTTATTTTAGTAAGACATAGCTAAAATAAATCTGAATTATTTTAAACATTTTTTTAGAGAACCACCAGAAAAAATTTTTGTTTCCTTTTCAGTTCCAAGAGCTTAAGTGAAACATTCATGCATTAAATTCAAAGTCTGACTGTCAAATCATTTCACTTTAATGAAAATTTGAATTACCTGCCTTAGGGCATTATTAAATATCAAATAAAAAGCACACATCCATAAGTCTGATTTCCCAATATAGTTTTTATGTAGAACTATGACTAGATTTGTATTACACATTTCAAGATAAAAGGGTCAAAAATGTATTCATAGAAGGATGAAGTCAGAACTGGAGTTGCCTTTGAAAGAATTCCTGCACCATTCTTAGGAATTTGGGGGAAAGTGACCCCTCTTAAGTCATCTCAGTCACCAAGATAAGGATACAAATCCGTCCTCCTTTGAAAAGACCTAGATCATAATTAATTTAAAGCCTTGAAAAATTATACATTATCTTCCTATCATATAAGGAATATGAAGCATCTGAAATACACATAATCTCATCAACAGCATTTCAGTCTGTGTGCACGTATGGGGGAGATAAAAGCGTGATGGTTATTTAGATATTTAGAGAAAGGCAACTCTGGTCTAGGGCTAGATGTGGATCAAAAGTTCATGGTAATAATGTGACTTCATAAAAAGTGTCATTTACAGTTACTGATATTCAGAGAGGACACAAAACCTAGACTGGGGAAATTAATAAATTCACATTCACCAAACCTCACCACACACCTCCTGCCAGCCCACCTGCCCCTCCTACTGGGTCGCTCCTGCGAGCCCCCCATCCCCCTTCTCCTCTGCTCCAGTCTCCCACCTTCCCTTCTCCTCTCACCTCTCCTAGCCACAGCCCCACTCTTCCTTAAGTAAGAAAGGCAAGTCACGGAAATGCTAACTCTACAAACCACTGCCTCCGTCTCCCTTCCTATTACAGCCCAGAAAGTGTCCCTTCTTGTAATAAAGGCAATCTCCACATTTGCTTAGGATTTCATTACCTTTCTTTTTTCGTAATCCCTACACCCGGGGTGGGGCTCGAACTCAAGATCCCCAGATCAAGAGGCTCATGCTCTTCCAACTGAGCCAGCCAGGCACCCCAGATTCCATCCCCTCTCAAGTCTTCAGAGACTGCACAGCCAGGATTAGCCCCCCTGAGAAGTGGCATCTTCATCGCCTCCCACCGACTGGCTCATTACCCCCACATACAGACAAGGGCTAGTGGTTTTTTTGTTTAAAAAGTGTCCCTGGATCCCTTCACCCCCTCTATTGCTGCAGCCTTCTGCTCTCCTCCCACCCAGCTCATCAACCACTGCCATCACACCGTATCTGCCCCTCCTCCCTTCCCACTGGACTCCGCTCTGACACACCACCCTCACGGCAAGCTTGGGCATGCTCCCTGACCCCTGATGGGCAGTGGGTAAAAAAGAGGCTCTGCCAGCCAGGCTGCCTGGGTCCAATTTCAGCTCTGCTGCTCAAAGGCTGCATTATCTTGGCCAGTGATCTAACTTCTCTGTGCTTCTGTGAACTTACCTACCAAGTCTCACATTAAATTTTGTGAACACTTAATGAGACGATCCCATGCAGCAATAGAATGTGATACATGTATATCCAAGCTCCATGCCAATGACTCAATGACTCCCCTATTTGGTTCAGACCTCCTTTCTGATCTCCGCTTCTGAAAGTCCAGTTAGCTGCATGAAGGGTCCACTAGTGCAATTGACAGACATCTCTCATTCAATGAGCTCCAACTCAACTCTTTAACTTCCCATGAGTCTCCTCCAGTTTTCCTGCTGTCATTCGATGATGGCACTTCACCCGCACACAGTTTCTAAAGCCCCCAAATCCCAGAAGTTATCTTTGATATTTCCGTCTCTCTCCACCATCATCCAATTTGTCAACTAGGTACTATCACTTTCAAGGTCTACTAAACATACTTTAACTTCTCCCCATTTCCACGGCTCCTGGTCTAGTATCCGAGTCTCTGCGTCTTTCACCTCGGCTACCCGGCAGACTTCTAAAATACCTCCCTACTCCTACCCCTGGCCCACTATCATCCAATCTGTTCATTCTGCAGCTACTGTGATCTACTGGAAACATACATGAGGTCAGGCCACGCCCCTGAGCAGAAGTCTTTAGAGGTTCTCAATGCATCAACAGCAAAATAAAGATGCCTTAACGAGGCTGACAAGGCCTCCAAGATAAGAGCCCTGCCCCTTTGAGTCCTACACCCCAGACTCACAGGGCCTTCCTGTGTACCTCAATGCATCAAATTCTTACCTCCACAGGGAATAGTCCCTTAGGGCCTTTGCAAAAGATACTCCCTCTACCTGAAATCTCCTTCACTGCCTTTTTTTGTCTTCTCATTCATGGATTTATTATAAGTTGTAGTTGTATTTTTTCTGAAGTATTTATTTTAGTATTTATTTTTCTACTCTCAGGCTCCCCACAGGAGATTCTAAGTTTTCTGAGAGCAGAGACATCTATTCTTCTGACCTTTGATACCCAGAACCAATCACACGGTAGTGATTTTTGATCAAATATAATTTGAATTCTTTAATCCCTCCATCATAAGGCTTAGCTTAAAGCATTCTTGCATGTTCTCTCATGTTACCACATACGAATTACGGAAAGTCCCTTCGCAGCCTTACCAAAGCAACTTTGCCTGGCCCTCACCCTCTCCAAAATCAGAAGAGGAAGAACCATACCAGCTAACTCAGAAACGAAGAGTCAGGAAATGACTGGCATGTGGCTGGCTGATATAAGCTACGTGTAGCTCTCAAGAATTGCTAATGGGCCAACGGACATTCAAGACGCCAAGTGTTATGTGTCACAATGGATTCAAAGCAAAATGAACATGTTTCAACCCTTTAAAAGCTTGACTGTAACACAGAAAGTAAATACACAAACAGCTAAATGGAAGAAAGAATGTGAATAGAAAGGTACAATTTAAGGGAGAAGCAGAGAATTCGTGCTGAGAACAGGATTTGGGTTGAGCCTGCAGGGTAGCTAGGATTTCAACAGGCAACAAGAGGGGTGGGAAGGACTGTATGAGCAAAGCACATTCACAAAGAAAAAAGACAGTTTGGATGGAGTACTGGATATATATAGTTATAGTAATAGAGAAGCAAGAAAAATGGATTGGAGAACACATGGACAAAATGATCACCTCTGAAAATTCCCATGTCAACTGTCTAGCTCAAGACACTGTTTGAGCTTCTTGAAGCCAGAGACTTCTATTCATCTGTGACTCCCACTCTGTACTGTTCCACTTGCACAGAATGTGAGCTCATACTCACCACGGTCCATTATACCAAGTCCAAGCTCTGTCCTGTTTACCTACATAACTTCCAACCGATGCTTTCCTCTTGTGGGAAGCAGCAGTTGGCCAGCTATGTGCGCTGACCTATGTTATGCATTCTTAGGCAATTCACGAGGTAAAGAAATAATCCAGGATATAGTCATTTATGTATATTTGATCTTTGCCATGTCTGTGAGGTTTTATTTTGTCAGCTCTTTGAGGATAAGGTATGCATATATTCAATCCAATATATTAAAATGCATAGATTATATTTCAGTCAATAAAGAAACATACCATATTCATATACCTAGTAAGTGCTTCTTGATCTTTCAAATAAACGCACTTCCACAGGACAAGGATTTTAAAGCACGCCAGATCTGCCCTCGCCTATCCCGATAAAGAAGTCAAACATGCATTAGAGGAGGGTCAGCCCTGAGGCTCACAAACCCCTCCAGAGGATCCCTTTATGTTCCTCAGTCATCAGGAGGTAACTGCTGCCATTTCAAGGGTGCAGCATAGGGAGCCCTAAAAAGGACTTTTACCTCTTTACCTTGAATAAAGAGGGGATGCTTCTCTGCCTTGGGGCTCCTTACCTGATTAAGGCCAGTAGTAAAGCAAAATGGGAATTAAAGGCTGCTCTGGTGGGAAAATACAAGGATCGGAGGTTCTTTTTCAACACTGCATGAAATTTTTAAAGCCACGTGACTTGTAATTAAAAGGGTTTGAGAACGTGTCATCCCTTTCATCAAAGCAAAGTGCACTCACACTGCTACATCATCAGGATCACCGTGAGACTAACTCTGGTGTGACAGGTTTACAGGACTGGCAGCCCCATTTTCCTTACTCGATCTGCACATACCCAGGTGAAGGCCGTCTTGTTCCCATTCTCTCTGGCTACTGAAATGCGGCTCTAATGATTCTGTCACTAAGTGGCTGAGTGGGTCTAAAATTGTCTCCCAAAACCCCATCACAGCCTTCCATGAGCTCTGCCCCCTTCACATGTGTCCTCAGCCTGCGAAATTCTTCGATCTGAAAATAAAAACAGAGCAAAACAGCTTGATTATTTACTAGACATGAACAAGACTGGAGTTTCCTCAGTGACTTAAAATATGCATAAATTATAGCAGTTTGTAAAAAGAAAATGAAAATTAATCTTCAAGAAGAGTAAGACGGGGGGCGCCTGGGTGGCTCAGTCATTAAGCGTCTTGCCTTCGGTCACGATCCCAGGGTCCTGGGATCGAGCCCTGCGTCAGGCTCCCTGCTCTGCGGGGAGCCTGCTTCTCCCTCTCCCACTCCCCTGCTTGTGTTCCCTCTCTCGCTGTATCTCTGTCAAATAAATAAGATTAAAAAAAAAAAAAGAAGGAAGAGTAAGACGGACTTAATTCTTCCAAACCTAGTAAGACATGAGACATCACTGCTGCACAAGAAGTGGAGACAGCAGAAGGAGAGGTAGTAAGGTCTCCAGACAACCCCAACAGCCACAGAAACCTGCTGGATTTGCTCATGCCAAAATGCAACACACCTCTCTCTAAAAGTTCTCACGCCTGTCTGTAACATAATAAGAGGCGAACAAATGAGACTATGTCTCCTCTTTACGCTTCAGTGTTCACATGGATGTAAGGGATGACAGTAACAGCATTTGCAAGGATGGTGTAAGAAGCAAGATAATTCGGGGCGCCTGGGTGGCTCAGTCTTTAGGCGTCTGCCTTCGGCTCAGGTCATGATCCCAGGGTCCTGGGATCGAGCTCCGCGTCGGGCTCCCTGCTCAGTGGGAGGCCTGCTTCTCCCTCTCCCTCTCCCCCTGCTTGTGTTCCTGCTCTCGCTGCATCTCTCACTCTCAAATAAATAAATAAAATCTTAAAAAAAAAAAAAGATAATTCATGAGAATCACTCAGCATACTTCCACGGCACACAGAAGGGTTCGGTAGATACTGGCACAACTTCTTTTGAAGCCAAACCTTTAGCATCTTGAAATAAATATTTAGCTAAAATTTTCTGTGCAAAAAGTATACTGGAAATAATAAACCAATTGACTGAGAAAACAAAGTCCTGCCCTCCTCGTACCCCCTTCTACGTGTAATCACAAGGAATGGCGGCAACTAGAATCCACACGCTATGCACGGGGTCACCAATGAGCAATGCGGACTAGAAAATGTACTGCCTAAGCATATTTTAAGAAAGACTCCATTTCTGATTGACTTTGAAGCTTATTTTAAAACTAGGTTAATTTTATATTTACATATTCTGAAGTGACGAATAAATCTTTCAAGCCCCAGACCTCAGCCTGAAGCAAATTCTGTGAAAACAGCTTCTTCTAGAACAGACGATCGGAATCCACAGCCAGCCAGTCTCAAATCACTGCATTCTTGGAGAGAACTATTTCACAAGAAATGTTTTTCTCTGATCATAGCCACACTCTGAAGACTTCAAACATCAACAGAGATGGAGGGGAAAACACGTCTTTCTGAAATGCCAATTTTTCTGAAGTAACCACCCCTCAAAACCTTTAGTCACTTCAAATGGTATCAAGCGCGTACTGCGGTATCTCCCACTGAAAAGAGAGAGAGTGAGAAACACGCAGAATGATACTTCAGGATAAAAGTCTGCAACGAAATTCAAATGTCGGGGCAGTACAGAGACTATCTCACGTATCAGTAGGGATGATTTCGTCAATTTTTAATGCTGCTCTACTTAAACATGGCTATTGGTTTTTAACCAATTTACAAGAGAGAAAGAGAGGACAGAAACCCAAGCTTCAGGGAGACATGCTTGTCTTCTGAAGGCAGCAGAGTTGAGTAGCTATTCTCGGAATCGGGCGTGCACTCTGCTTGGTCCAAAGCATTGACTCCAACCTTCACTGACTCATGAACCAGATTATTCGCTCAAAGTTCAGCTTTAAAACCATTTTCTTTAGGAGTGCGTTTAAAGTGCTAATTTACAGGGCTTAGGGTTTGGCATTAATTATTTTAGAAGTTCCCAAGTTCCTGTGCATATCCTCTAACAAATGTCTTTTCACTTGCATCTCTGTTACCACGTTAAAATTAAGAGAAAAAGAACACATCAAAGTCAACGTTCTCGTCTTATTTTTTCTTTTATCATCAGGCAACAAAATACATGAATTCGAGTAATATAATTCCTGATGGAAGCCATCAAGAAAGAGTCAAAAGCCAGCTATACTTAAATAGTCCATAAATACATATATATACTGAGATTATGTCGTTGATAGGACTCACCACCTTTCATGTACTGTCTTATTGTTATTTCATTTTCTTCAACACACTATCTCACTTTTTTTCTAAAATCATTGCTTTTTTTTTTTTTTTTAAAGACTTCTCATCCATAAACCAACTCATCTGTCACTGACTCCTTAGTCTCATCTTTCTAATTTTTCTGAGGAAGAGCTCAGAGAAGAGAAGATCCTCTGCCCAGTACGACTGATGCCAACTTGCCCTTCTTCCAATCCCCAGTCCTGGTCTCTGCCATGGGTCTTCCCATCTTCACTTGAGGGCAGCTACTGAGGAGCTACACATAATGCAAACTTAGTCAAGAATTACAATCTAGGGCGCCTGGGTGGCTCAGTCAGTTAAGCGTCTGCCTTCAGCTCAGGTCATGATCTCAGGGTCCTGGGATCGAGTCCCGCATCGGGCTCCCTGCTCAGCGAGGGGCCTGCTTCTCCCTCTCCCTCTGCTTGCCACTCCCCCTGCATGTGCTCTCTCTTTCTCTCTCTCTGTCAAATAAATAAATAAAATCCTAAAGAAAAAAAAAAAATTACAGTCTATAGAGTTCGTGACCACAGAGGAAGCACTCTCTATCATGGAAGACACTGAGGAAATACATCCCAAACTCCCCACAAGTGCCTAAAAACCACACATTTTAGGAAAGGGAAGAAGGAGTGTCCCAGGAGAATCTAGAGTTGCACGGTCTCAGTGTGGCCCCTGAGCATCTGAAATGCGGCTGGTCTGAACTGAGATGTGTTGGCAACACAGGACACACCGTGAAGTCAGACTTAGCATGAAGTAACCATGTAAAAAATCCCACTCATGTTTTTTTTTTTTAAAGATTTTTATTTATTTGAGACAGAGAGAATGAGAGACAGAGAACATGAGAGGGAGGAGGGTCAGAGGGAGAAGCAGACTCCCCGCCGAGCAGGGCGCCCGACGTGGGACTCGATCCTGGCAGTCGCTTAACCAACTGAGCCACCCAGGCGCCCCCAACTCATGCTTTTTTATATTCATTACATGTTAAAATGGTATTTGGGGTACACTGGCTTAAAATATACTATTTAAATTCATTTCAGCTATTTATATTTAGATTGTTTTATTGTGGACACTAGAAATCTTAATCTTATATATGTGGCTCACATGGTTTCCACTGGATATTCAATGCTTCCCTTAAAAAAATCTGCATTCTGCTGTTACAATGCGGTTCTAAATTACACATGGAGGTAAACACCAGTAGACAAGAAACAGGGGTCCTCAAAGCGTGCTTCCTGGAGTAAGTTCCTCTCCCAGTCCTACTGGATCAGCAACTCTGGGGTGGGGCCCAGCAATCTGTGTTCGAACAAGCCCACCCAAGTTTGAGAATCATGGATATGGAAGAAAATTCACAACAAATGTTCCCAATCACTTGAAATCATTTTCAAACATGACCATGTGGTGGTCCCACAGCAACTTGGGTCTTTAGAACCCACGTGGGGAGCACACAGACAAGAAAGGCCCTGCTGCTGAGTCCTGGACCTAATCAGACCTCTTTCGTCACCCAGGACCAGATGGGCTCTCAGATCCCACTGGCCAAGCACACACCATACCCTGACTCAGGCTGTCAGGGCTAGGAAGAGTCCCACCTCTCAACCTCTAAGAAATATGTAACGGGGAAGGATGAAGAGGAGGCAAAACCAAGAAGAAAAGAAAACTGAAGTGGTTTTCCAAGTTCTTACAGACATATATCCACATAGTGAAAAACAGTGAACACATTTATGTTCCTTTGCTTCACTGGTGTTACTGAAGTTGAAAGAGAAAGAAAAAAACAAAGACAGGAGCATCTAACTGGAGAAAGCAGATAAACTAAGAAGTAGGAATAGATGAGTAAGGGGGAAACAGAAAAAGAAGAGAGAAGCAAAGGAGAAAACGGACAGTAAACTTAATCATTTCTCTGTGTATGCGTGCATACTTGCACACATGCCATCGTATTATCAATTCCGAATATTGTTCACATTTTCATGTCTCTGAAAATCAGGATGGGTCCTACAATTTGTTGACAGACTTGATGAAATTTGGTATTTTATTCTGTTCTAGGAATCTCATCTCCAAACATAACAATTCAGCTGAAAAAATTTTTTCCTTCAGCTTCCTAATGCTTAGACCACTATTTATTGAAAAGTAATTTAACAGTTACAGATCACAGCAAAATAAAAGAAAATTACACGCATTAAAATCCATCCAGTTGCATGTTTTTTTCCCCTAGCATATGGTATGCTAACCAAGAATAAGATGAAAAAATTCAGTTGAGCAGGGGCTTCCAGTTGCTTACTCTAGAATTCTGAGTACCCAGGAGGATGTGAATGTTCCATGATAGGCTTAACTTTCAACGCTGCACGTCAAAAGATGACTCCTCCTTAATTGAGATGCTGTGCATTTCATTAAAAACTATGATGATTTAGAGCCTTTTCTGTACTGTGGCTAGTGCAGACATTCTTATCCTATGGCAGATGGTACATTTCAAGAGACCAATTGTTTCCATAATAATACCCAGCAGCTTAATTTACATACATTAACCCCGAGATCTAAAAGGAAACATTTTTTCTTCAATACAAAGTTTTATATTTCTCAAAATACTCAGCTATGCAAAGATTCTACCTACTACTGGTCGTTCCTTTTGTTATTTTATATACAAATAATATTTTATAATCCCTCCCTCCGTCTCTGTTCCTCTTTAAGGGTAATAATATGAGACGTCTCAATTTTTCTTGGTCTGAATTCTAGAATCCCATCTTTCCCTTTAGTCCTCATTTTTACTGCCCTCTCTGGGCCCTTTCTGTTTTTGCTCTGCTTTCTCTGAAGTTATATGAGCAGCAACAGTTAAAACATTTGAGTCAAGAACAGACTAATTTACATTCTCCAAAGATTGTAATTTTTTTTTTCCAAAAACAACCTAAAATGCATTTTAATGTGTGTGCGCGCGCGCGCGCACACATTTTAACACCGTTGTCCTCTGAACAGATGCTGTAATGGAGCTTTGTGCTAATAGTACCTAAATCTTTTTTCTTAAAAAGCTGCAGCTAATTAGAAAGTCATCTATTTTCAAGAGCAGTTGATGTTATTCTTTCCAATACACATTCCTTTGGCTTTGGCTCCCAATTAGGAAGATACAGGTTTTCCCAACAATCGAGGAAATGACTTGGTGGGTTAAGGTTATTAGAGTCTGTCACCGGCCTTACTCAAAGGGATAATAGAAAGCAAGGTTCCCTTTGAAGCCAGCCAGACACAAAGGCAGGCAGTGATTTGTCTCTGAATTTTGGCATAACGTGCTAGTCAACAGGGGAGTAAAACTTTATTGCTCACATTTACAGAACATCAGTTAACATTCACAGTATACTTCAACAGTAACATTCCCACATATTAACATGCTGGCAAGGGAATCCTTAATGGAATTCCAAGAGGAATTAAGAATGTTCTCTTTTGTGGCTCAACAAGGTTAATCTCAGCTAACTTCCAATAAACAGAAATTTATTGTGCTGATAGAAGTTTTATTCTTCACTAAAAGGTTTGATCTATTTTTATAAAAATATCCCTAAATAGAGCAATGCTGAACAAATGGGACTGCAGACTCAGCTTCTTCCATTTCATCTCCATGCCTGAGACCTCTCCTTGTGGCTCAATCCAATTAATACTTTTCCGCCCTTCACTTAATGTGTGTGCAGAATCTGATACTTTCCATCTCTCCACTCCCTCCTCCTTAAAACTCACACCTCCCTTGGCTTCCAGATATTACATCCCACCAACCTCCTGACTCTTCCCACCCCTTGAGTCATTCCATGGGGACAACTGTCCCAATGCATGGCCTTATCAGCTCCCCTCCCCATGCTCTGCATTGTTTCTTTTTCTCTCCCTTAAGGATCTCCTCTTCTCCACATGTGGCTTCAACCATCACCTATGTATTACATCCCTTTCTTGGGACATCTCAAAGGCATCCTCAAACTCTCAGCATTTACAACCACAAACTCATAGTACTCTGCATAAAGCCTGCTCTTCCATTTTTATCCCCTGTCATGGTGAAGAGCGACATTACACTCATCAGTCACTCAAGCCAAAATCCAGGGAGTAATATGTGGCTTCGTCCTCCCTGAAAACCCTCCTATGTCGTCAGTCACCAATTCTACTGATTCTACTGCTTTATTATTTCTAAAGCCATTCCTCTCCTTTCATCCCACTTCACAATCTTAACTCAAATTGACATCTTCATACGGGAGCTACAGAAAGGTTTCTCAAATTTAGACTTGGTCTTGTCTCTCTCTCTTTCTCACAACGTTCCAGTAATTCCTTGCTGCCTTCAGGAAGCCTCCACAGCACAACATCAAGGCTCTTTGGTGAGTGTCAGGCCCATGATCCCCTCTCCAATTGCATTTCATGACCCTGGCCCTTTACACTAACTGAGGGCATCTCCAAAGGCCTCTGTGCCCATGCAGAGTCTTCTTCCCCAGTCGGCAATGCCCACTAACACTCACACCACACCCCATTATCTGGCCTGGGGAAGGTCTACCAGATGGCTAAATCTTATCAGGTGCCTGTCCTATGTGCTAGGGCATATTCATGTCATACCAAAGCACTGTTCACATGAAATTACTATTCTTTCAATGTGAACATATTTGCCTTTCCCCCCAGATGGTGAATTCCTTGAGGTCAGAACCATGTCTTATTGGTCCTCCATTTGCAGTGCTTACTACAGCTCCTGGAATATAGAAAATGCCAAATTACCAAATTAATCAACGAATGCATGAATTAACGAATAAATTATCCACCTTACTCTCAAAGGAGAAATTCCACATCCTAACATCTGACTATGACAAGGGTAAAGGAAGATGGGACTACAGCAACATACTACCTTATCAGTAATTTGTTTGTGTTCATAGAATCAGGGACATGTAAAGGCCAATGAATGAGTCCCCAGCAAAACATATTGCGTATTAAGCTTCAGTGTTTGAAACTTAGTCATCTAAGATGTTGTGCTACTTACTGCAACAATGAGGAAATGTGTATCACTGTCCCTAAAAGCAAGGTGTAGGAAAAGTAAATGCAGAGGGATGTTCGCTCTTTGATATACGTCATTCCCAGAACAATCACAGCTCTCCCGCCCCAGCTTAGGACAGCTGAGGCTGCAGTCTCAGTCTGACCTGGACAGGTCAGCCAACAACGGCCTTCACATGCCCACCTGCTCATCCCAAACCTTCTTCCCTGCTTCGGAAATGTGGTATCAGCGAGAGAAGTGACTTGGAGTAACCAGATGGCAAATGGAGAGTAGTAAGTCCCATGGGACCCTACTAGCTTTGGAAGAGTTCTCTTATAAGAGTTCTCTTATAAAAATTTTCTCAGGAAAACCTCCCAAGAGACTGCTTCTCCCATCTTCTCCACTCTTCTTTTCCCATACTCTTTTCTTTCATCTCGTTTGTGTCCCTTGGCTCCTTCTCTTATGCCAATGATCCCTAAATCTGTATGTCCACCTCAGCCTCTGAAGGTCTCATTCTGTGTTTCTGTCAAAAGAAACCAAACTCCTCCACCTGAGGACACAAAACAGGCCGAAAAGGTAGAAACCTTCTCTAGTACCAGTGAGATTTTCCTGACAAGGTCTCATATAGAAAGAGGATCTCAAAGGAACTGTGATATCATAAAGGGCAGGAGTTGAAAGGGGACAGTGTTAAGCACCCAAACCACTGACAATCACCCAGAACCGGGTTGGATCCCAAAACCACCCAGTGGCATCTGGGCCCATTTCTATAAGGTATAGTTATTTGCCACTCGGGCAGGCAGCACCCACCCTCCTTAAATTCTCTGAGGCATCTGTCACTATTAACTTCCCTCCCCTCCCCCACATGTTGGCCATCCTCTCCCCCATCCTGGGCCCCAGGACATCACTCCCTCTCAGGTGTCCTTAAGTCCTTCTTAGCTCCCTGCATGGTACCATCTCCTCCAGGTATACTGAGGTTTGGCAATCAGCCGACTGTCTTGTCTCCTCCTCAACTTGAGCTCAACTCATCATCAAATCCATTTCTTCTCCTTCCTGGACATGAATCCTGAATGCACTTCCCAGCTCAGCAGGGAGTCTGCTTAAGACTCTCTCTCCCTCTGCCCCTCCCCTGAGTTGGCATGTGCACACACCCATGCTCTCTCTCTAAAATAAATAAATAAATCTTTAAAAATAAATAAATAAATCTCTTCTGTGAGAGGTCACTGGAATGTTGAGGTTTCTTTGTTACAGCAGCTACCATCTTTGTGGTTAAAATCCAAACCCGTAATTATTAGTCCAAACTTCTATCCCTAACATTAGGCTCAAATTTCTAATTTCTTTCCTCTTCTTTACCAGACTTACTCCTAATATTTTTCAGGAATTACTCCCGGTCCCACCTAGGCCAGGTTGGGTTTCTTTCCTATGTGTGTCTGGAGCACCTTACTCCTCACAATCAACATAACCGTCTGTATGATTGTCTGCCTCTTCTACTCTATGGTAAACATTTTGAGGGTAAAGACTGTGTTTTAATCTCTATATTCTTTGTGTGTCTGCTTGGCACTCAGGAATAGTTTAAGAACACAGGGATATATGAATAAATAAGGGATTTGTCATATTAAAAATATGAAAGCCGAAAGGTGGTGTGATCAAAGTCTGTAAAAGGATGGAGAAGCTGAATTGGGAAGTTTTAAAATTAATCCTTAGAAAAAGAAAAAGAAGAAGAAACTGTTAAAGGTTGAAAGGATTTTGAAGATTTAAGGACAAGCAAAGGAAGGCTTTACTGAGTAGTTAATACACTTAAAGTTCTTAGAAAGTGATAGGAGATGTAATAAAAATTTGTAAAAAGTCACTAAAGGAAATTTCATTTGTTTGGAGTACAGCCTAAGCCTTCTGAGGTTGATCATGAAGGAAAAAATACAGCCTTTTAGAACACATCCCTGAGATCCCTGGAGGACAGGAGACATTTAAAGCACCTCTTTTGTAATAATATCAAAATCATTATTTAAACACATTATAATGATGTTGCCTCATGTTCCACCAGCTAACATCCCATGACAGTTCAACTCAGTGCCCCCACCCACTGTGCATCAGCATTTAGAGCACCTACGCAAAGCCCAAGGTGAGAAGTAGGTGACCAGAAGTGGAGCTAGAGAACAATCCAGCTCTTTCCAGAGCATTCTTTTTACCTCCTTCACCCTTCTGCTTACAGAACTTTTCCTGTGCAAGCCAAGGAAGAAGTATTGTACAAAGCCCACATGACTCACAGAAATAAGCAACAATTTCACTTCCAAGACCTTTCTCCTCTTCACTCCTGGGGAATCCCACACAAAGAAATAACTAGACTAATCAAAAGTCTGACTATTTCAGTGACTTGTATTTACTCTATAAAAACTAATTTTAAAATACAGATCATAAACAACAGCTGGCTTTTATTCATCCCTGACCTTTCAATTGCTTTCACTGGTTCAAGACATCTAACTTTCATCTGCGAAGATGTGACTGATCTAAAGGAAGCTAAAACATAAAAGAGACATTTCCCTTTTACAGAAATAGTATTTAACCTTTAGCTCAGAACTTCTTCTGAAAGATTTGAAGTGCTATACTCACCTGCAGCTGGGATATAGTTAAAGGGTATCGGAATAATATCCAGGTAACACCTTCGCTGCAAGGTGGAATGGTAAGAGAGCCTTCATACACCCAATAATCCCGCAGCAAAGGATCTGTGCAACCGGGTGGACATGTCACAAAACAGTAAATTAATTAATAATAATTTTGAAGATGCCAACAATAATCTTCAAAATTACAAACTGCCTATAAACAACTTTTCCGAATGAGGTCATTTTCAACTACAGCCTCACATATGCATTCTTAAACTAATCATCATGGAGAAAATAACCAATGGGAAAATACGATGAGCCCTCTTCCTAATATTCATAGTGATTTGTATCCATGTATCACTATATAAGCCAAAGATGGCTATCCAAACCTGATATATACATATATGTGTGTACGTACAGATCCAGTTTAGTCACTTTAGAAGAAGTGGATCTGTGTTGTTTTTTACGTTATTGAAGGATTTACCTGACTTATTCATCACCTAACCCAATACTAACTACATAGGAGGCACTATTCTAAGCATCTCACATGAACTCATTTAACCCTCACAACAAACCAATGAGACAGGTACTATTATGGTACTATTATTAGCCCCATTTTTCAGATGGGGAAACTGAACCACAAAGGGTTACATAATTTGCCCAAGGTCACCCAGCTAATAACTGGCAGAGCCAGATTCAAAACTCAACAGTCTGACTTCAAAGACTGTGGTTTTAAACATTCTGTCTTAGCCCTCTCTATACATCTCCCTCAACAGCAAAACACGGAAGTCCTATTATGACAGGACAAAACAAATCATTCCTATGTAATCTTTAAGTTCTGCATTAGAAGAACTCTCGATCAAATATGGTGGATAAATGTTCAACACATGGTAAAAACTGGTTTGTTGTAAAGCAATTAAATGTAAGCCGTAGATGATACATACAGTGCATCAGCCTATTTGGTTTTGTTTAAAACACTAAGAAACAGGGGCGCCTGGGTGGCTCAGTCATTAAGCGTCTGCCTTGGGCTCAGGTCGTGATCCCAGGGTCCTGGGATCGAGTCCCGCATCGGGCTCCCTGCTCAGCGGGAAGCCTGCTTCTCCCTCTCCCACTCCCCCTGC